AGCTCAAAACTTTATCGGATTTCCCAAATTGTTACTAATTCTAGTCAAAAGGGTTTCCTTTTTTTAAGAAATGAGAAATTCCAAACTCAAGAGAGGAGGACGAGATCTTAACCGATTTTAATGGAGGTAACTCGAAGGCCACAAGCTTTAAGCACGACGCCGATACTACTTGCAGTAACGCCTTTGCCAAGCCCACTCACCACTCCTCCAGTCACCAATACGTACTTCATCTCCTCCAATTACTCAAAATTTCCTCTCTTTTTTTCAGTCGCCGATCTTTGTGAAATCTAGAGGAAAATGGATAGTCTGAAGAAAACGCACGCCAAGTGTTTGTGCTAATGCCTGATCGGAAATTCGGAAACTATACCAAAGCGACACCAAATCTCTTTGGCTCTTAGTCTTTTACGGTATAGCTGACTTCTTTTCGTGAACAACTGGAATCAACCAATAGTAAGATCCCACGTGTCGCAGACATTTTTTAATTAACACATATTCCAATCATTGGGGATAAGTGGAACTCGAATTTTATTTCTGCTACTTCGTTAATTACAAACGTAAATGCATATAGAAAATGTTGTAAATCGTGAATAATTTTAACATATTAATTACATATGATATAATTAGAAGGAAACACAAAAAAACGTGTAAACGTAACTGAATTACGGCCCATTGGGCTTTAACATAATTTGCCTTTTCCCGTTTACTAATTAGTCTTCGCCATTGATTTCGTTTGTAAAAGCTTCAACCACTGATATATTTCTTTCTTTTTATTGCTTTTGAATTTTAAAATCAGATTTTGGCTATTTGATCCAAAACCTCAAATTTATAGATTTCTTTGATGCAAAAGTGTAAATTTTGTTGTTAGGGTTTGATCAATGGCTTCAGAATCGCGATCGGCAACGTCTTCGTCTTCTTCACCGACCGGAAAACGAACCAGAGATCCCGAAGACGAGATCTATCTCGATAACCTTCGTTCCCAGAAACGTTACCTTAGCGAGGTT